CTGAGGCTAGCCATTGGCCCAGGGACCTAGAAGAGTTTGGCTTCCTAGTGGTAAAGAGATCACTGAAGGTTATCAACTCCCATCTCAGCACTGAAACTCCAAGCAAATATGCCTGTTTATTTATTTTTTTATTTTTTAAATTTTTTTCCTTTTTCTCCCCAAAGCCCCCCCGGTACATAGTTGTATATTCTTCGTTGTGGGTCCTTCTAGTTGTGGCATGTGGGACGCTGCCTCAGCATGGCTTGATGAGCAGTACCATGTCCTCACCCAGGATTCGAACCAAGGAAACACTGGGCCGGCCGCCTGCAGCGGAGTGCGCTAACCCAACCACTCAGCCACGAGGCCAGCCCCATGCCTGTTTATTTTGAATAAACATGTTTTTCTGGTAAATAACTCACTTCTGAATGTTGCCGCTGTCCACTTGATGTCTGGAAGAGCAGTTGTTGCATTTTTCATCAATATCACAAGACTAATCTTTAGCTGTTCCATGCAGAAATGGCCAGTTTAACCAATTGTGAAATTATTGGAATATATAATGGCTGATAAGTAGCCTCTGCCCCCAGCGCGACTCCCATGTCCAACCTCATTGAGGCTGACCCAATCCTTCCCCAGAACACCCTGGATTTCCCCCAAATCCAGCAACTGAAAGGGTTAATACCTAGCCGAGAACCCAGCTGAGCAGATGCACAGCTGTTGTCCATTCTGATTGATCAGCATCCAAGTCACTCAGGGTGTTAAACATTTTGAAAAATACTCCTGCATCATCATGGTGTTGAAGACATGATACACCAGACCAACATAATCCGGTTGTTAAAAAACTTTCTAGCCCAGTGCTTCTCAAACTTGAGCATGCATCAGAATCGCCTGGAGGGCTTGTGAAAATGTATACATCTGGGCCCCACCCTCAGAGATTCTTGGTAGATCTGGGGTTGGGTCTGAGAATGTGCATTTCTCCTAATTCCCAGGCCAAGCTGATGCCCACGCTCCTGGTCCACTGTTCCACAGACAGCTCTCTGATAGAAGCCTATCTAGAGCAGGGCCTCTCAAACATCAATATGCATATGAATCCCCGGGGGGATCTTGGCATACAGATGCTTATTCAGTGAATCTGGGATGGAGCCTGAAGTTCTGCATGTCAACCAAGCTCCCAGGGGATGCCAATGTCTGTAAGACCTTAAAGAGCAAGCTCTTAGAGCACTAAAGAGAATTCACTCCTCTCTGCATAATAACAGTCCTACTTGTAAGTCCTTTATCCTCTCTGCATACAATTCCCTTCTCATCCTCCTTCTTCCATTTATCTTTTTAAATTTTTTTTCACTTTGCCCTCTTTTGCTTTTCCCCTCTCCCTTTTCCTCTCACCAGCTTTCTTTTCTTCCTTTCCCTCTTTACTTCTTTCTTCCCCACTCTTTTTTTCCTGCTGATTTTTCAAGATTTTAAATTCCTCACCCACTCTCAGGATTCCACCCCTGGATACATTAAAAAAAAAAAAAATCACAACCCTGACTTCTGAGAGACTCCACCCAGACAGTTTTGGAGCTTCATGATTCCAACAATGAGGTCAGACATGAGTCTAGGAAAATACATGTGAGTACATGTCAGGGAAACAAAGAAGCCAGTCAAGGGCAAAGGGAAAGCCTGGATTGCTCTTTTCTAGAAAATACTTGACCAGGAGCTTTTTTCCAGGACTAGAATCTTGCCCTGCTTACCGACAGCACTCTCTCTGCAAAACAAAAATGATGTCTATTTCTTGTGAACTTGGCCATTTTCTGGATTTTAATAGAGCTTAATTCTAGTTGGGAATAAACAGACTTCTGTGAGCCATCAGCTTGTACCCTCCCTGCCCTTGGGCTGGGCAAGCTGCTTAGCAGCAAATTCTGTGGAAAATTCTACAAGCCCTCCTCTGAAGGGCAGAAGTACTGGCCCGGTCTTTCTAGACTTCTGGGAACCCAAGCACGTAGCAGGAGTGTGTTGGTTTAGTAGCTGTTTCTGAGAGTTAATTCTGTACTATCTTCTTTCCAAATGCAGTGGAGAGGAGTTCAAGAAGAGCTGATTATATAAGGAAAAGGATGATAGAAATGGTAGATGTCTTCTTGGTGCAGCGAAAAAAAGAATTCACTCTATGTTCAGTTCATCCATTGCTAAATGGCTTTCTAACAGACCCGCGTATTTTAGCTGACCCGTGTTCCTCCCTATGTGACGTGTGACCCAGACTCGAATTCTAAATTACTTCTGACTAGGATAAGTTATTTAAACTTGCTGCATCCCATTCATCTTATCTGTAGGGTGGACACAATCACCTTAACTAACTGGGTACTTGTAAGATAACATAAATGAAAACGATGCCTAGAACCTAAACCACACTTTGAAGCAGTAGTTCTCAACTAGGGGCTTGGGAGATGTTCAATATGTTTCAACATCCATCTTTCCTTCTTGTATGAAAAGGAGAGAAGGAGGAGGAGAAGGAGATGATAAGATCTGCAATACGTAACCGTGAATAACATTCCTGGCTGTGACAGTGGAAGCATCAAAATCAGAGGTCTCAAACTCAAATGCCAATAGAAGCCAGGAAAGTAACATAAATAATTAAAATGCCCTCGGGACAAAGGAAAAAGAATACAACAGACAATGGACAAACACATTAGAAATACTTCAAATACCTATTATTGTAGTAGAAGCAAAATAGTTGCACACCCACAACAAAAATGGCATCTTGCCACTCCACCTCAAGTTCTGGAAGCAACAGAAGATGGTGAAGACAGGTCAACTAGAAAGAGCATGCCCCTCCAGAGGGGCAGCCACTACTCTCCATCTGACAGTTATCGTGCGACACAGGATGATAGGCCCAGGGCTGCCAGATCTGACTTTTCTCAAGATGAGTATGCGGCTTTGTTTATTCCTAAAATATTTCAGTTTATAAATGTTGACCAACACTATGGTATGGCCAACACAGTGTGCCATCTAAGGCTTGTGCACACTAGGGTACAATCTATGCTTCTTTTCCTTTTTAGAGTTCTGCCAGCCTAGAAAGGAGTACATTGAATTGCTGTTTGTTTTCTATTCTCTAAAAGCTAAGAAAGCCCTTTCTAGGACATAAACCTGGAAAGCCAGAATGGATTGCTGGCTTTGGGCTAGGGATTGTACACACTTGACTAGACTTCTTTCTATCTGTTATTTCTCACCATATCCCTATGCAGTAGACATTATCTCCATTTCACAGAGGAGCAAATAGAAGCTTAGATAAGCAATAATTTGCTCAAGATCTCATAATACCAGCACTTAGATCTGAAACTGAGTTCCTTTATCCAAGTCTAGCACCTCTCGTATACCATGAAATGGAAAAATAACATTTGTTTGAGTCCAAAGTTCATTTTCCTTCCACATTTTCCCTGAGCATTTCAGAGCATTAATGAATATTTTGAGCCCGGACATATGGGAAGCCAGAAATTAAATTCCTCGTTGCTAAAGTGAGATTTTGCCGTACTATTTTGCACCTTATATGAGAAATTTAAAACATCAATGACTATGTGAAGTCATAGTTCTTGCAATTTGACCCAGTTGGAGGAATTTCTATAATATTGCTTCTGAATGCTTTCCAGGGAAGTATCAGAAATCCCAACTTAATCCAATTTAAACTATAAAGGAATTTACTGTCTATGGAAATGAGAATTCCAGACTTAGACTGAGCTTCTGGCAACACTTAATCCGGTGGATCAAGATATCACCAAAAACCCAGATTTCTTCTATGTCTCCTCACTTCTTTCTGAAATATTGGCCTTAACCAAAGATTGGGTTCCTGTGTGTTTTATAATTGCTGCCAGCCAGCATCTTGTTTAAATCCAGATGGAGAAAGAGGAAATTTTAGTAACTCTGTCACAAGTGCCAGGAATTGCTTTCTCTTGCTTTCTTGTTCTCTCTTCATTAACCCTTTGCCTATAAAGTGTAGGATTGTTGGTTGGATTAAGGTGATCAGAGTTTAACCCTGGATTTAGGGTTTGATTAATCCCATACAAACTGCATAGCTGAGATAAAATGGAGGAAGGATAAATTTGCCCACAGAAAAATCAGCATATTTTTGGTGGAAAGTGAAGGAAATGGGTGCTGGCAGGCAACTGACAAATATCACTACAAAAACCAACTTGGTGTATGGCTACATAAGAAACATTGATACTTCATACTTCATCTAACACACACGAAAAGGAACGGCAGGTAATTCATTCCAGAGAAACCTGACTGGATGCATGGAAAAACCAGAAAGAAAGATTTTGCTGTTTTTGTTTTACTGTAGAATTCTGCTAGTTCTCACTTTTTTGTTATTGTTGCTCTGAAGAAGATTTGAAGAACAGTGGTCACGGCCATGTTTGGATTGTTTGCTTACATTAAATTCTGAAAAATAACAAATGATCATCTGCAGGCTTTGGCAAACTGCTAATGTTTTTGTAAGACCCACCAGCTAAGGATGGTATTTACATTTTTAAAAGATTGTAAAAACCAAGAATATGCAGCCAAGACTGCATGTGGTCCATAAAGCCCAAAATATTATCTGGTTCATTACGGAAAAAGTTTGCCAAACCCTGATCCAGTCTGTAAGAGTGGAATTTCATCACCTCCTAAATAATTAGAGCAAACTAACAGTAGAGGGACTCTGACTCACAAATTTACAAGAAACTTATTATAGGATTAAGGCTTTGGTATTTTTCTTAACTGCAAAATCATCCCTTCAAAACACTAACTGGAAATAACTTTCATTTATTTACCTTGCTTATTTCTCATTTGGTGGTTGAGGGGTTGGGGAAGGAAGAAGGATGCAGGGAAATAGATGATAGAAGATCAAAAATAAATAGACACATTATTGATTCTGCACACAAGGCCTGCAGTTGGCTGATTCTTGGCTGACCACACGTTGACTAACTCATCATGGCACAAAAGTGAAATTAGCCCCCCGTCTGCCAAAGTTCTAGGTTCTGAGATGTCACGTCCAGTGATGTCATAGAGAAGTTAGCCTTATATTCCAGATAGGATCCTGTAATTAATAAGAGACAGCCACATTGAGCCAACCGAACCACGAGGAGAGTTTCATCAGCACTTCCCAGGTGTAAACCATGGTGCATACTATTAAAGATATGGCAAGTATTTATTCAGCTTCATTGAATATTTCAAAAGCGACCATCTTTGATAAGCTTTAAGAATTATGTCCTTCATCGAGTACTCCTTCGCCGCTCTATAGCAAGGGGAGATTTTTAACTTCTTGCTCATCATGTTGTTTCTTATGGGAAGACACTATCTAGAGGGGTAGCCAAGAGACAAATTGATCAAAAAGGGTTTTGTTCTTCCCTGATTCTCATTCCTTGCTCTGACTCCAGCTGGATCCAGGCCTGCTCCTAACATGTCCCACCTGTACCTGATCCCACTCCCACCTCAGTTGTACCTGGAAAATTCTACGGAAGTAAAAGAGTCCGCATAGTTTTCTTCTAGGAAAGACAACAGAAACGCCAAACATGCCTATGAAATGGGGTAGGAGAAATGACGGCCAGTAGTATCAATAATTCCTAAGGGGGTATTGCATAAAGCCACTTTCTATCCATTGCTCAATGCTATTGCCATAACAAATCTAAATACATATATAGCATCCTAGGGCAGGGATAATCATAAAGAAGAAAACTGCCTCTAAAAGAGAAGTTAAGGTCCTATATCATTTAGGGGTGGAGTGGGCATTAGAATCTAGACATTCTGATGCCAGGCCTCATTACAGGCAGGCCAGGAGCTGGAGGAAAGGGGGAGGGCATAGGGCCTTCCATCCACCAACTCCCGCAGATTTAGACTTCTAATATTTTCCCCAAAGGCAGCTATACATAAGCTCACAAAAATGAGACTGACCAGATTGAAAGGCGGCTTTGCAACATAACTTTGATATAAGAAAATGTTTTAAAGTAGCACACATTTGCTAATACTTTGGGTACTTTTTAAAATTTTCTGGGAATCTCAGAATAGCCCAGGGTCTCACTCGTCCCCTGAGAAGCCCCCTCCATCTCCTCCTCAGAGACCTCTCCTGAGGGCCTGTCTTCTCCTTCATGTTTTATTCAAGTGTCACCTTCACACCGAGGTGGACCTTGTCCACCCGGACTACAACTGTAATCCAGCTCCCATCCTTCCTTCCTATTTTATTTTTCTCCTTTCTTCTTTATTAGCAATGATAACTAACATACTACTTATTTTGCTTATTATCGTAACATCAGCTTCCCCCTCTAACTGTAAGCTCCATGAAGGAAGGGAATGTTTATCTGGCTTTTTGTCTGCAGCTGTATTCTAACGGTGTGTCCAGGACCTGGCATAGAGTAGGCCTCAATAGATTCATGTTGAATCAATGTGTATACTATGGGGGTACTCCCTTCAGAGAACTTAGAACTTAGCCACGTCAAATTCACGGGTCCAACTGGGCAGGTTTACACCCTAACAACTAGTGAGAAGTGGAGGGTGTTGGGGGCTTGTGAGGATGGCAACTACCTTCTAACTTCAGAAGCAAGTGAGAAATGGCAGCTTGACATGGCTCTCTGACAAGTCAATTATCTTCTATCCTAGAGGAATATTGGTAAAGGAAGAGAGTGTACCTTCTTTAAATGATCAGTTCTACCTGCTTGAAACAAATCAAATGGCAACATAATTGTCAAGATTCCCCTATTATAGAGCAGTATGCCATTTGTATGGAATTAACCCCATCCCTAATCCCAGTGATAGGCTCTGCTTGACTTAATCCAATTAGTGAGCCCCCCCCATCTTCATGATTGGTCCAGGGATGAGCACATGATGCAACTAGGGCCATTAAGAGGGAGAGTGAGCCCCATTACTACAAAGAACTCAGGAGATGATTTTGTGAAGTGGTCAAGGAAATGGTTTCTCATGGTTGACCATGAGAAAGTTAATAAACTGTAGTTTTTTCATCTGTAAAATGAGGATAATACTAGTAATGCCCACTCCATAAGGTGGTTGTAAAGATTAAGGGAGGGAACACCAGAAACAGAGTAAAATGAAGGAAAAATAAATCTTTTTTTTTTTTTAGGAAGATTAGCCCTGGGCTAACATCTGCTGCCAATCCTCCCCTCTTTGCTAAGGAAGACTGGCCCTGAGCTAACATACAGGCCCATCTTCCTCTACTTTTATATGTGGGACGCCTGCCACAGCATGGCTTGCCAAGCGGTGCCATGTCCACACCCGGGATACAAACCACGAACCCCGGGCCACCAAAGTGGAACATGCGAACTTAACCACTGTGCCACCAGGAAAAATAAATCTTGATCAGAACACTATATATTAGCGTATCATTCATTCATCAACTAAATATTCCATGAGCACTTACCATGTGCCTGTTAAGGGACCATGGAGGTGCAGGAGGGAATCAGGAGTGAGTTCTGCAGGGACTTGGTGGGGAGATAACCCATGCATAAAACAACTAGCTTAGGACAGTCACTGTTCACAAAACAGGCAAGCAGAGACATAGTGATCTGAGGTTCCAGAAAGGGAAGCCTTACTTTACTTAGAGGATACAAATAGTTAGAAAATTCACTAAGACATTCAGCAAGAGGCATGTCAAATCTTTAAATGTATGGTTTTGACTATAGCTTTAGTAATAGTCACTCCCCCAAAATAAAACAAAAACAAGAAATGACTCAAGGTTTAGATTAGTTCTTCTCCTTTTTAAATTTCAGTATTAAGGCATGTTTAGGTCCTTGTAAAAAAACGTAAGAGGCCAGCCCCATGGCCGAGTGGTTGAAGTTCTGCACGCTCCGCTTTGGTGGCCCAGGATTTGCCAGTTCGGATGTCTGGCGCAGACCCACTCCACTCATAAGCCATGCTGTGGAGGCATCCTACATACAAAGTAGAGGAAGATGAGCACAGATGTTACCTCAGGGTGAATCTTCCTCAAGCAAAAAAAGAGGAGGACTGGCAACAGATGTTAGCTCAGAGTGAATCTTCCTCACAAAAAAAAGAGATAGATAGATAGATAGACAGACAGAGACAGAGAGACGTCCACCTGGAACAATCATTCACCCTTACACACCACCCCTCATCTCTCACTGATCAATCTCAGTTTCTCCCCAAAGGCAACCAACCATTACCAACCACTATTACCAATCCATTTAGTAAATTGACTCATATATTTTTTTGTGTATTTATTATCATTTATGTGTACTTACAAAGATAAACATATATGACCTCAGGACATTTAAGAAAGGTTGAGTCACCTGGAGAACAATAGGCTGGGGTACCTGGTTAACCTTTTTAAGAACCAAACTGTCATTTTATTCTCTGCAAGACTTCTTGAGATTCAGCAATTGTGTACATTTCTTCCTTGGTGTTCTGGCCTCAGGATGAATTCAAAACATTTCTGAAAGCTGCTGGATGCAAACTTGCGGTGGTAGAATTTTCAGCAAAATGGTGTGGTGCTTGCAAAAGGATTTGTCCTCTGTTTCATGTAAGTATCACCAGTATCTATTTCACAGTTTTAGAAGGAATTAAAGTCCTTAAACAGTTTTTGCAGGAAATCTTAAAAGGCTGGCACTTAAGAGCCATTATGGAATCAATAGTTTTTTTTGAAGCATGCCGATCAACCTGAAGATAATATACTGAGATCTAATTAGATAATTAGTACACATACCAGAAGATTAATACTACTTATCTATGGATAATTCTGCAAGGAACATCAAATGTACAAAAGAGTACAATTGTACAAATGAATGGATCATTCATAATAACGACATTTTACTAAAGTTCCAGAGTTCAGAACTTTCAGCTACTGGAATAGATTACAGATACACATACTTGTTTTAAACTATAATACAAAAAAATAAACTGCCCCCAATCCTTCAACCCTGTTATCAGAACAAATCATACATCTTTAACACACTTTGTACAATATTTTAGTAAAATATTCTACTTAGTTGTAATTATTTACATTCAGATCTTTTATCCACATGCAAACTGTTTTTATAGTCTGCAGATTATAATTTTAATGTCTATACAATTTTTCATCTAGTTAATTTCCTATTGCCCCATTTAAAAGTTTTCACCACTTATTTTTTACTTAACATGCTGCAAAGAGAACCTCAGGGCGTTTTATTTTTGTTTCTCCTTATCATGGAGAAGTTTCGCATTTACGGTCAATTTTGTGAAATCTGTTCCTTCAAATATAAAGAAGTTCTGATTCCTCTACACAACTGAAAATACTCTGGTTTATTTTCAGCAAGATTTCTAACGTCTAATCTTTTCTGACTGGCACTCTTGAATCCACCTGAATTAATTCTAACCACAATCACAACCTTTGACATTTAAGTAAAAAGAAATATATCCAAATAGAGAAATTGGCTACGTGACATCTCAACATTCATTCTATGCCTAAAACCCTTGGAATATCCAGAGGGAACATTTTAATATCTGACAGGCCCCTCTATTCTGACACTCAAAACTTTAAGAAAGAGAATCCCCAGTGTTCAGCTTCAGGAGTATTAATATGCTCACATGTCACAAAGTCAAAGCTGATGAAATTCCAACAGCCAACAAGAGGCATTTTCATAAAGTACAATGAAATCTGAGGCTTGGCAACCTCTCCCTCTCTTCATACCTTTGGGACCTAAGGGTGATGACAGCTCTGCTGCTGTTATGTCCTGCCCTTCCTACACCCATCCTTACCGTTATAGTTAGTTATAATTAGCCTTTTGGAGATAAACCTCCCCCAATTATCCTTACTTGAATGTGCCATCTAACTTCTGTTGGAATTCAGACTAATGCAAACATAGTTTTTCAATAAATTTTGGTTCATCCACACCGAAATACTATTCAGATGTTAAAAAGAATCAAGTAGACCCATATGTAATAATGAAATTGTCTCCAAGACAACAGAGCATTAAGGAAAAGAGCACAATATGGAAAAACTTATACAGTATGGTCCCATTTATGCAATGTAAATATATATGTATGTGTGTATATATATAAACATATACACTATATTATACGTAGACAAAGGGGAACAGAAGGATGTTGATTTCTATCTTCCAGCTCACTTTGGGCTCTCTCTTCCATACGGTCAGCTCTATTCCCAATGCTTCCTACACTATTTTTTATCTCATCAAGTGTGTTCTTCATCTCCCGAACTACTGCATGGTGTTCTTTTATAGCGTCAATCAGTTTGGCGACACAGCCCTGTTTGAGCTCAGTGAGGTGTCTTTCAAAGCCTTCTTGGATTTCGTCGAGTTTCTTCATGATAATCATATTGAGTTCTCTGCTAGTTAGATCACAATATTCCGTGACTTCAAGTTTGGTTTCTGGAGAGCTGTCATTTTCTTTCCGTGCTGCCCTCTTACGGTAGTTCTTCATGGTTCTTGAAGACTTGTTCCTCCGCGGGCCCATCTGTGGTAGTGAAGCCTTTCTTATTTGGATATGGCTTTGGCTACTTGGTTCTGAGCTGCTTCTGGTTGTATCTGAGAGGCTGCACTTTCCACCCTCCACAGCCTCTGCCAGAGGGTCGTCAGTGCCCTCCTTGTGCTGCTTGTGCCTCTGGGGTTGCTGGTGCCTTGCTGCTTCCGATGGTGCTGCCGTCTCAAGGGTCACCGTCGGGGTTACCCAGGGTCGCCTGGGTCTGTGTTCCTACACTGGCTCTCTGCAGGTTCTCCACGGGCTCGGGTGCTGCTGCCCCGCGCCCCACCTGCGCTGCTGCTGCCGGGTTGTCTGAGGATGCTGCCAGCACTGCTGCTGGAGGCGCTGTGTTCACGGGTGTGGCTGTTGCTGCCCGGGGTCCAGGGTCTTGTATGCAGCCCCGGCTGCTAGTAGAGCCGGTAGGGAGCGCCGCCACTGGGGGCTGGGTCACGGGTTCTGCTGTGGTTCCAGAGGCCTCAGGTCCCAGGCGCCACCCGCCACCGCTGGAGGCTGGGGGGAGAACAGGGGCCAAGCCGAGAGTGAGTGTCCTTGCTGCTGTGCAGCCTCTGGTCCCTGGTGTGCGCAGATTTGCTTCGCAACCTCAGCTCAGCACGCCCCCTCCCCAGCCGGGAAAATCCGCGTTTGGAAACTGTTCTCACTGCCGTAAAGACAGGCGCCACCGACAGGGAGGGAGAGGGGGAGGGGGAGGGGGAGGGGGAGGGGGAGAAGGTGGGGGCTGGGTGACCGGCTCCGCTCTTTGTCCTGAGTCTTCAGGACGTGTGCGCCACTCTCCACTGCTGCGGTGGGGAGGTGGGGGACAGGGGCTAAGCCAAGAGTGCCGGTTTTGTCCCTGCAGCCTCTGTTCCCCGCGTGCTGCTGCGGATGTGAGGATCCGGGCCCTGGATCGCCGCAGCCTGGGAGGGGGAGGAGGAAGGGGCTGCTCGCCTCCGCGGCCCAGTCCACCCACCTGCAGATGTATAGATGCGCGGATCTCTCAGGTGCTCTGGTGCGCTGTGCAGGCAGTCCTTTGTTGATCAATGGATGTCGCAACTGGTTGTAACCTACAGGAGACGGACAAAGGCAACAACTTCCTCCTCCATGGTGCTGACGTCACTTCCCGGAAGCATGTATATCACACAGGTTTTTTTCTGTGACAGTGAGTGAAAATTGAGGTAGGCTTGTGAATTGGAGAAGTTCATGTTTCTGCTTTATTTTTCTTGTAATGTTTGAACTTTTGCAAGAGAATGGATCGTCTGTAATTTTTTTAAAACTCATACTCCATAAGGGGGTTAAAGAAAAGGCTTTACTTACTCTAGGTCACTTTATCGTTCAGAGATCAAAGCAGGAAACAGAAACAAAATTAGAAAAGGATTTTAATACAAGGAATTAAATGCTTATAAAATCACTGGAAAGCTAGATGAATGGGCTCTGGACTGGAACACTGTGAAGGACGCTCAGAACAGACCTGCATATAGAGATCCTAACTTTGCGTTAATCACAAGTAGGGGCAGATGGGAGTCCACCACTGGAGAAAAATTAATCAGCAGAGCAGGTCAGGGAGTCAGAACCAGAATCAGGAAGGTACTGCTACTACAGCTGCCTCTGGACATCCAGGAAGCTGACACCTGGACACTGGATCTCTCAGTCTGGCTACTGCTTCTGCTGCAACGTCCAGCAGAACTACATCCCGGTATACACAATCTTACTTTCCAGCAGAAACCTCCAAAGACAGAAAGAAAGTAGCATTTCTTTCACTTCTGCACATCTCACTGGTAAAGCTAATTTGCATCCAGAACTCTAGCTGCTAGTGTTACGAGTCCACTGGGTTCTTATTGTCCCCCAGGATACAAATCAAGAGAGACAACAAACAGGAGTAGAAAAGTAAGAGTTTGTTATCTTGTGCACAGGAGAGGCACAAGGGAGGTGGTCCAGAAAGGAAACGGGCAGGGGACTTGCTTGTTAGGGAACAGCACTGTGGCGCTTTTATTAGGCAAAGGCTGGGGAGGAGGGCCTTGTCACGGCACATAGAGGTGGGGTTGTGCTTGCACCTGTGCAGTCGCGTAGCATGCTACCACATGCAACATCTGTATCGTTAGCATGCTAGCTCTCCACCCCTGAGTGTGATTTTTACTATGCTAATAGGGTCACCTTCAGTGTACTCCTGGGTGCTAGGGCACATGCGTAAGCTCAGGAAAGTCCAGAGGCTCCAGAAGGTGCATCTTGGTGGCTTCTGTCTGATTCTCCTAGCTTGCCCATTGATTAGGGGCCTTATCTTCTTAGGCCAGGGGCCTTACAGATGGCCCTGTCTCATTAGGTTGGTTCCTGTCTCACTAGGGAATCCAAGGAATCTTTACCTTTTTTCCTTTCCATGTTCTGCAGGAAAGTGGAATGGAAGTTAACTAACTAAGCCATTTTTCAAGGGAGGGGGAAGAATTTAAGACATTTTCAGACACACAAAAACTAAAAGTTTCCTGGTTACAGAGTCTTTGCTGAAGGAAGAAAAGTGACTCATAAGAAAATGTGAATTTTAAGAAGTGATTTAAAACTTTAAGTCTTGTTGGACCGGCCTGGTGGCACAGCGGTTAAGTGCACACGTTCCGCTTCAGAGGCCCGGGGTTCGCCGGTTTGGATCCTGTGTACGGACATGGCACCACTTGGTAAGCCATGCTGTGGCAGGCATCCCACATATGAAGTAGAGGAAGATGGGCGTGGGTGTTAGCTCAGGGCCAGTCTTCCTCAGCAAAAAGAGGAGGATTGGCAGCACTTAGCTCAGGGCTAATCTTCCTCAAAACAAACAAACAAAAAAGTAAAACTTTAAGTCTTGAGTAAACTCCACAGTCCCATTTGATCTGGATCTTGATGACTAAACTAAGGAGTCAGCAGACTTTTCTGTAAAGGACCAGATAGTCAATATTGTCAAGTTTGTGGGCCATGTGGTCTCCATCAGAACTACTCAGCTTTGATGTTGTAATACAAAAGCAGCCTATAGCAATACACAAATGAATGGGTTGTGTTCCAACAAAACTTTATTTATAAGACTACATAGATTTCACCTGTTTGGATCCTGGGCTCAGATGTGGAACCACTCATCAAGCCATGCTAGGGTGGTGTCCCACATGCCACAGCCGGGGGTACCCACAACTAAAGATGTACAACTGTGTACCAGGGGGCTTTGGGGAGAAAAAGGAAAAACAAAATCTGAAAAAAAAAAAAAAAAAAAAGACAAGACTACATAGAGAGCTGGATTTGTCTACGGGGTGTAATTTACTGACCATGATCTAAGAGGGTCACCAGGCATAGAACCTTGGGAAGCATTTCTGGAAAAGGAGAAGTTATAAATTTGTCGAGAAACTGCAAGGTGTTATCATGGGAAGGCAAGTAGTCTGTGAGGCTAACTTATGGTGTATACAATGGAAGTCACAACAGATGACCTTCGAAAAGGAAGTTGAGGCCAGATCAAGAAGAACTTTTGGGGGGCTGGCCCCGTGCCTGAGTGGTTAAGTTCGCGCGCTCCGCTGCGGTGGCCCAGGGTTCGGATCCTGGGTGCGGACATGGCACCGCTCGTCGGGCCACATTGAGGCGGCATCCCATATGCCACAACTGGAAGGACCTACAACTAAGATATACAACTATGTACCAGGGGGGGATTTGGGGAGATAAAGCAGGAAAAAAAAAAAGATTGGCACAGTTGTTAGCTCAGGTGCCAATCTTTGAAAAGAAAAAAAAAAGAAGAACTTTGTGTTATAACTTAATGAGTTGCTGTAGAGAGTCAGAAGAATTTTAAGAAGGGTTTTGCCATGATCAAATGTGGGTTTTAGAAAATATTTTTGGCAATGTTGTATAAGAATGGGTTGGAAAGACTGAAGACAGGTAAACCAAGGTGAACAACAGTCTCAATGATAGGTTTACCAAAACTAGGGCAGTGGTTTTTGGAGAAAAAAGGCAAGATCAAATTCAAGAGACATTTTAGAGTTAGGATCAACAGAAGAAGTGACCAAATGGTAACAGATTCTGTATGAGGAAGAACAGAGTGGAAGGAAGAGCTGTTGTTTGGAGGAGGGAGATGGGGCAGGTCTTCAATGGATGGAGTGGGATAGTCAGGGAAGGCAATGTTCACAAGGGAACTCCAACCTAGCGATGAACCCGTATCTGTACCATGTCTTCTGGCTACTACTTGATACAAAAATGACAACTGCCATATCCTTGTCCATTTCCTGACAGACTTGGGAGGCTCTGGAAACTTCATAAATAGAACCTGACCCTGAGAATTAGATGTCCACATAGGTCAAACCCATTCCCATGACTCCCACTGGGGAACATCCCTTTATCTTCAGACTTGAAAAGTGCAAGTCCATTGCCCCCAAGTTCTTGGGTGACATTATTTTCCTGCCACGCATGGAGATGCTGCCAATCAAAATCAGCATCTTTTTGATCTGAAAAGTACTCCAAAACTCCAAAGGTCTTTATGTCTATTGTCCAAGGGTTTCTTCCCAATTTCATCAGCTTGATAAGCCTCTGAAGAAAGAGCTCCCGCTTCAATCACAATCTGTGGACAGACAACGGGAGAGAATCTCCACAACAGAACTCTGCACATACCCACTCATCACCCCAGGCCATGCTTCTTCCTATTTCTGCATGGAAGCAGCCCCCAGTGACAGCTCCATCTTTATTGTCTCCACTTGGCCGAGCTCTGGACACCTCACATCACCATCAGAAAGAGGTCTCATTTGAAATAGGTCACTGGAAATACTTGAGATATGATGTTAAAGCAAACAATCAATATGCTATTATGTCCTTAAAGTATGAACACAACTGTCTGAAAAAAACCCAGGAGCTGACATTTACAGGCTGCTGCTGCTGCTGCATCCACTACTTCCAGACCCACTACCAACACCGTTGTCACCACCGCTGCCAAAGATGCATCCAGAACAAAACAGAAGCAGAAGAGAGTTTTGCTTCTTACCTCTTCCCACCTTCCATTTTCCTGCAAATGCTTTCCATTGGCAGAACCTAACTGGAGGATAGCTGGCAAAGGACCCTGGAAACTCTAGTTTCAATACATAGTAAAGAAGTGTGGCAATAAGGGTGGAAAGCAATAGGCTAATGGTCAGCTCAAATATTTTTATATCACTTCAGCCATAAGAGTCTTCTACCACCAGCAGCACCAGCACCACCACCTCCCAAAAAGCCTGGCAAGAAGAGAAGGTAAAGGCAGAATTTGGGTATTTGGTTCAGAGATTTGTACTTTGATGACCTCTGAAGACGGACTCCCCCCAGGGAAAAGCTACTTACCCCAGGATAAGTCCAGACTCACCACATACATTTCATTATTTCTTTGCTTTGTGTCCTTTTCCAATTTTGAAACTCTAATCTTTGGTTTGGTTCTTTAGACCCTTGTTCTACCCTTGACCTTGACATCATCTGACATTTGACTTGAGTGTTTCAAGTTCTAGGCAGTAGTAAAATGCCAGAACGATGCTTAGCTCTCTTGAACAACCTTTCTGTTCATTTCTTGCTTTTGCCAAAAGACACTTCTAGCGTGTGATTTAATATTAACACTAAACTAATGAGGAATTTTGATTCTTTTATTTTGAAGGCAATGTCACTGCAATACCAAAATGTAATGTTTGCTAAGGTGGATGTGGACGAGTCTCGGGTAAGAATCTTAAATCCTCCATGTAGATACGTAAAATCTGAATGTAATGTCATTGAGAGCACTGTTTCACTAATTATATAATCAATTTAGAGTTAAGTAGAACTTCTCAATTTTTTCTGATAAACTGTAGTAAACACCCTGTAATGCTCTTATATGTTTTGTATTGCTTTAAAAAAAAACACAGCAAATATGTGGCTCTCCTGCTGCCCCCCTCCCCTCCCATATGATGGCAGACTTCACTGATCACTCTTAATGGTCTTCACCACTTGCTCTGGACTCTGTCCCAGAATCCTGCTCAGCAGAGTTGCTGTAGGCAGACAGTACCAAGTTGGTTGGCATTGGGTTCAAGGTCAAAAATGATTTTCATCCCTGTAATAGGTTATTAATCAATTTCTGAAACCTAACTCAGTGCATTACAGACGTTTAATATACCTTGCTTTCCTCTTGCTATATCTTCTGCTTTTTTATGGAGTTTTTTAAACATCACAAGGAATTCCAAGAATCCTTCCCTCAGTTCCTAGAAGCTTCCTTCTTCACCTCACCCACCCAAAAGTAATCAGCTTCATTTCCTCACTCAAAAGGTGTCCTAGTAATACACACAGTGTGTCTACCAAATTATTCTTTCATGACATTTTTTCATTTATGATGAGGAAAAGTAACAATAGGAAGTGGTGTATGCATATGTTAGATTGAGTTTGAGCTTTAGAATACAGTGACAAAAAATCTGTTATTCTCCCCATCCTGCCCTTTAATAGTTATGTGACCTATGATCAGTTAACCTCTATAACCTTCAGTGTCTTCATTTGTAAAACAGGGTAATAGCACTTAAAAGAGTATAAAATGAGATAAAGTACACAAAATAGATGACATAGTGCCCAGAATATAATCCAAGTTCCATTTCTTCATTTCCTTCAAGCTTCATTAAACTGTGACAGTGTTTAATTGCCCTTTAAGCTGAATTATATCCTATGCATTCAGGATATAGAGCTAGGATCATTATCTCTCTGTCTTTTTTGATATTCACAGAGCTGTGCAACCATCACTACAGTCAATTTTATAACATTTTCATCACTTCAAAAAGAAACGCTTCTGGAGTTTTACACCTAGTCCCGTCCATCCCCCGACCCCAACCCTAGGCAACCACAGATCTACATTCTGTCTACAGAGTTGCTTATTCTGAACATTGCAGGTAGATGGAATCATAGAATATGTGGTCTTTTGTGACTGGCTTCTTTCATTTAGCATAAGTTTTCAAGGTTCATCCATCTCATAGCACGTATCAATATGTTGTTCCTTTTTACTGCAGAATAATATTCCGTTGTATGGATATACCACATTTTATTAATCCTTTCATCCACTGATGGACATTTGGGTTGTTTGCACCTTTGGGCTATGATGAATAATGCTGGCATAACCATTTATGTGTGTGTTTTCATTTCTCTTGGGTAGATAGGTAGGAGTAGAATTGTCGGGGCATGTGGAAACTCTATGGTTAAGTTTTTGAGGAACTGCTGAATTGTTTTACACTCCCATCAGCAATGTGCAAGGCTTCTCATTTCTCCGCATCCTCGCCCACATGTTTTCCCGTTTGCCTTTTTGATTATAGCTCTTTGTCTTCTAAGGTGAAACAAATGCACAATTTTCTTTAATAATAAGTTATTAGTTGTTGTCATTGCTGTGGTCATGAAAATTATGATTTAATGTACGTGTATGCTGTAGGTGGCAGGGGAGAGATTTTGCACCATGAAATGATAGGTATATTAGAGAGAAAAGTCCAATTCTGTTGATCCTGTGGGTGACTAATTTTCTTTTGACTGCTAAACAAGGTAAACAAAAAGTGGCACTTGAAAGCAGGTTGTAATGGATTGAAAAAATTGAAATTCTGATGTCTTTTCTTGTTTGTTGGCTCCAAATCTTTCACAAAGATTGGCAGTATAGATGAGTAGAGCTTTAAAAGAAAGAAATGCGGGGCCGGCCCCGTAGCATAGTGGTTAAGTTCGCACACTCTGCTTCAGTGGCCTGGGCTTCATGGGTTTGGATCCAGGGTGCAGACCTACACACTGCACATCAAGCCATTCTGTGGCAGTGTCCCACATACAAAATAGAGGAAGATGGGCACAGATGTTAGCTCAGGGACCATCTTCCTCAAGCAAAAAGAGGAGGATTGGTAACAGATGTTAGCTCAGGGCCAATCTTCCTCACCAAAAAAGAAAGAAAGAACCGTGTAAGCCTTACTTAAAATGCAGGACCATTACATCACCCCGTGTCTCGAGTGTGCATTATAAAGAGACCTTTACTCTTTCTTATTTTTTGCAATATGCTTTCTCCATATTGAGTTCCGCTGGGGCCCTTCTGCAATCCTTCACAAGCTCTTTCAAATAGAGCTCACTCAGTCCTTCAGTCCATTCTGTTTTGGCCTCCATCTCTCCCCTCTCCTAGAGCTCTGAGATGGAAAAGCTCAAGAGTGCTGGGAAGAGTCATTTTCTTTTTTCTCATTCCTGTAAGCTTTGAGGATATGTTAGAAAACTTCTTGGCAGGAGAATCTGTGAAATATCGACTGTCCCTGGGCTTTCAGACATCCCTTCTGAAAAGTCACCAATTGCCATGCTGGGTGCAGAGAGAGGGTACCAAAATTGTAACTTCATGCCCTTTCTTTTCTTTCCCAGGAGTTAGCCCAAACTTATCACATCAAAGCAATACCCACATTTCAGATGTTCAAGCAAGCCCAGAAGGTATGTTTCCATGGTAACTGGCAGATTGAAATAGATTATAAAACCATCAGAGTTTTAAAAAGGGCCTGGGATATCCTGGAGGGATGGAACAACTGTATGTATTTTTAATCTTAGCAATATAATTCTCAGTTTCTGGACTTTACATATTGGCAAGGGGTGAAAAGAAAATGCATGAATTATAATAAATCTCCCCATTCAGGCCATCTGATGTGTCCAAATCACTACGAAGTATTCCACTATCCTATCTGAGGCAGAACTATCCAAAAAAAGGACAAGATTAAAATCTTACACAAATATATACAAGTTGTTAGCAACACTTGGAGAAATGTTAATCAAACACTATCACAAGGCACTATGGCCTAATCGTTGACCACGCAGGTTCTAGAGACAAATTGCTGGGGTTCAAATACCAATTCTGCCACTTCCTAGCAGTTTACTTACCAACCTCTTTGTATCTTAGTTTCCCTATCTGTAAACATATGGGTCATAACAAGTTTTTCCCCCTACAGGACTGTCGTGAGAAATAAATGAAGTAAGGTGACTAAAGTCTTTAGACTCATCCTGACATGCATTAAGTGTTCAGTACGTTATGGTAGTTGTTATCTTAAAGATGTGAATGCAATAAAATGTCTGAAAACCTTGGTGTGTGATGAAACTAGTAATTACGTAGAGGAGCATTGACAATTGTACACACCTTAGGAAAGGTGGTATTGCAACAAAATTAAGACGAACAAGCTATTCATTCCTTTTCACACAATTAGTCATGTGTTGCTGAATGATGGGGATAAGTTCTGAGAAATGCATTGTTAGATGATTTTGTCCTTGCCTACTACACAACTAGGCTATATGGTACTAATCTTATGGGACCATCATCATGTATTTGGTCCATTGTGAACCAAAACGTCATTAGGTGGGGCATAACTATATCCCATTCTTGGAAACTTTTGCTACAGAAGTACCTCAATGAAAAGTAAACAGCTAAGTGTATAGTAATTGTAGCCTGATTTCTAATAAAATATGGAAGCAATCAAAATGCTTTTTTTAGTAGTGATTTATGATGATCTACTCTATGAAATAGTATACAATTAAAAAGCGTTACAAAGAATATATGTAAAGCTAAAAAATTCAAGCTTGATCTTTGTAAAGATTATGCCTACAATATAAAGTATGAAAGCATCTGATTTGCTAGCTGTAGAATTTTATTTTCAGTTTCTATTTGTTTGCATGTATCTGCTGTAATATAATTGGTGCAATAGATTTAAATAATTTTTCAAAAAAAATAACAATATTCCCCCTCTTGAGTTTTTACTCAAAAATTGAAGCTACTTAACATATGCACCCTCAACCTCCCACACCTACATGTCAAATTGTTTATGTGTCACCTTGCATTATCTTCTCCTTCTCTTCCAGCTCAGAAATGAGGATGCTTCCTCCTTTTGAAATCAGTTCCATACACCGTACCTTGATTGCTTTCCCTCCCTTCTTTCCGGTCCTCTATCCATCACTTATCCTCTTTCAATCCTGGTGTTTGGACATTTGTTGGTTTTGCCACCAAGCTACCATTCTCCATTCTCTATTAAGAGTTCTCTGACTTTTCCTTCAGGGAACCATGCCCTTTCCCATTCTTAGTCCATGTGCTTCTGTAGGGCCCCATCTCCAGGCCTAGACCAATCAGTGAGCTCCATCCCCATCAGAAATGGGCCTTGACTCCAGTCAAGCCAAGCCAAACCCAACCAGAGCTAATTCCAGGACTTTCTTAAGCAGCCAGCTAAAAGCCTTCTCTTTTGATGTACTGGATTTGAACTTGGGAAGATATCGGGCTGAAGCTACTACAGCCAGCTTGCCATCACAAGGAACCTGGAAATCAAGCCACCATACAGAGGAAAGCAGAGTCAAGACAAGAGGTACCAACTGCATTGATTGAACCCAGAATCTATTCATACCTGAAGCCTTAATTATCCCCATAGATTCTTCAGTTATATAAACTTTGGATTGCTTTTTCTGTCACTTGCGACAAAATAATTTCTAGTAAGTCTCTCTGATGTTCTCTCAGACTACTCTCCTTCATGTCATGGTCAATTTTTGAAATAGTAGAATATATTTACTGCTTCTAGTTCTCATTTTCCACTCATTCCCTCATCTACTCTCTTGAAAGTCGCCAAGGATCTTCCAGCACCTAATTTACATAGCCTTTTCTCAATCCTTTTATTCCTTGGTTAACCAATCAGCTTCTATATTCTGGAAACTTCCTCCTTTCTTGGCTTCTATCCTGGATCCCTCCCCAAGCTCTCCTCTGGCTTTTTTGTCTCCTGTGGTCCCAAAATGTAAGTGTTTCCCAAGGTTCTATCTTTTTCCCATTCTGTCTCTGCTCCTGTAGTAATTTCATCCCTACTTCTAGCTCCAGCTATAAATACCTTTAATTTAAACAATTGCCATAGCCCTTCTCACCCCCAAGTTCTCACCATAGTTCTGTTCTCTCTTCCAAATAGATCCTTGCACAGCTCTGTGTATGTCATTCCCTTGTAAAATTTGATGCTCCTCCTCCTCCATTTCCTAAAGAATCAAGACTAAACCCTTGTATTCCAGTCTGACTTTCCGATTTCTCTGTAATTTTGACCCAATCTATCTTTCCAAGCCCATTTTTGTTTGACTCAGATCTTAACATCATGTATTTTTCTCATACTGTCCCAAGTACTTGGAGGAGTTCATGTCTGATTGGAAACCCCAGTGTCTAGAAGAATCCCTCCTACACAGAAAATTCTTACTTTCTGTTTAATTGATGAGTAAGTGGACAGATGAATGAATGAGTGAATGCTGCTGTCTTTCCCCTACATCCTACTGCCAGCTCTGCCTCCCCTCCTGATGCTGTCCTCATACTAATCTGACTCAGGGAAGGTTTTGCTCCAGCTGACAACAGCTTTCTGGTTTCATCCTTTCTGCAGATGATATTGTTTGATGACTGCTACTCCTCAACAGTTTGTTCCCTGTTTTATGAAACAAATCTTTGGGTTCTCAATTGATTACGTGTCTAGGCTCTTGAGCAAATCCATAGCTATGCTTTTGAGGAAAGGCTTGGGCCTTCTTGGTCTCCGTTCTCTGTGGGGGTGGAAGAGCCCTCAATTGGAGATGGGAAGAGCTTATAAACAATTCTTTCTTTTTTTTGTCTTTTGAGGAAGACTGTCCCTGAGCTAACATCCGTGCCCATCCTCATCTATTTTATATATGAGATGCTTGCCACAGCACGGCTTGATAATCAGTGCATAGGTCTGCACCTGGGATCCAAACTGGCAATCCCTGGGCCGCCAATGCGGAGCATGTGAACTTAACCACTATGCCACCAGGCTGGTCCCATATACAATTATTTTTAACGGGTGTTTACAGGGTATGGATCCCTGTGGAAGTGATGGAACAAAATGCCTGTATTCTAGGGATCACTAAGGATCTCAAACTTGAATTTTCTGCCAGTTAGCTAATTGGAAAATAAAATTAACTGAATTGATGGCACTGTCCCTTAAGCTGATCTGCCTCCCTATATTCAAATTCCAGAGTCATCCAGCAAGCCTCTGATTATAATGTGGATACCCATGTCCCAAGTAATTTTCTTGAGAATTGAATTTCTCATTGAATATTACTAACTTAGCATCCTGATTATGGAGTTAATAAAAAAAAAACCTTGAGATCATTTATATCACAATATACAAATGAGTCTACTTCTCAACTTTGTTTGTATATGTATTCATATCTCCAGGAAGATTCATACCTGGATTAATTTAAATATCATTTGAAAACCTGCAGAAAAGATTTGTAATGCTGGCTCCATTTAACAAAGAATATCAACCTATTGTGGAAAAGACAAAGGCCAAGAAAAGAGGGGAAGAAATACTAAAAAGACGCTATTACAAATCTTTTCCCTCTTTTGACTCAGTCCCCAGCATTTGGTATCTGAGTAGCCCCCGTAAGGCTTCTGCAGGGTCCTCACTTCTACCATTGCATCCAGAGCTGCAATCAAACCATGAGACCTCTGAAATCCGCCCCCCAGGTTCTACCCTACAGTGGTCTGCACGGGAAAATCATTGGGTCCAGAGGAAGTTTGGGGTGGCCGGACAAAAAGGCCAGTCCATGTGAATTTCCCTCCTCTCCCGATAGAATTGACTAGGAAGGCTACCAATGACATTCACTGTTTTCTTGGGGGTAGAAAAAAATTAAATTTACTTCTTTGAAACCTCTTCCATAAATGTGTTCCTCTCTTTCATCTGGGACAGCACAACTGAAAATTGACTTGTTGAAGCAGTTAAGTGCTATTTATCTAATAATTTTTTAAAGAAAAACCTAGAGTCTAATTTCTATTATGGAATTTTATAAGAAATGTCTTTACATTTCTGGTAAAACTGCTGGCGAAGAGCCACTGTCCATTATGCCTTTTAAAATGTACATTGTATAAAAAGCCTTATGATAATTCCTCGTGGAACACAGGGTTAGAATATTTGCCTCCCTTGAAACTACGATCTGCTTCCTTGCATTAGATCAACAGATTTAGGGAATCTCTTGGGTTTCTCTTTTTCCAAGGCTGCCAAGAATCTCAGTATTCCCTCCTCTACTCAAATGCAATAACCTCCCTTATCTGCAGTTTCCTGGCATTCCCTAACTGCCATCTCCATACTGGGTCATCCTTTAGTGGTTTTGCTATTTTATCTTGCCCCGGATTCTAGCTCATTTCAAATATTTTCCAAATGCGTAGAATATGAACAGAATAAAACCTTAAAAATCTAAAACAAATGAAGCTATGTAACAATAACCTAGGGCCATGGTGAATGATAGGCATTCCCTTTTGCTGGAAGTTATCACGCAGAGGTCGGACGAACATCTGGCAAGAATGCACTGTAAATAACAGCTGTAATTATTTCACAGTTTTAGGGCAAAGGGCAGCTAAAGCAAATTCCAGGTGATAAATAAGGTGGGCTTGCTCCTTCCTGCTGGATTGATTCCTTAGTGTTTTCATCTAGGACATCACATCGTGTTCCAATAAGATTAATTGTGATTAAAAAAAAAAAAAAGCATTCCTGGAGTGTCTTCCAGATGAAGCACCCAAAACCTTGGTTAATTTTTGTAACCAGAATATTACACTGTATTCTATCATAAATAGTTCATAAATTTGGTTTATAGACCCTCTTAAAATTCAATAAAAACTCTCTCTCCAGAAAAATAAACATATACACATAAACTGAAATATGCGTATGATACTAGGGTATTCATTGAGCCTCTGCAGCCCATCAGTAGATCCCCTAGGTTGATAACATTGGTTCCAGACTAAAGTTCGTGTATGACTGTGGAGTCGGGGAAAGGAAGAGTAATAAAGATTTAGCAAGTCTTGGCCAACTGCTAAATATGGGCCAAAAGTTGGTTCCACCTTTTATTCTTTGATATGAAAGTAAAATGGCTTCCCCAAGCACTTAAGCCCGCTCATAAGAGTGATAGGATATGGGAACAGAGATGCTCATAAATGAGTTATTCACAAATGAGTGAGCTCTCGTATTAAGTGGGCGGAAGCTCTTACCCTTACGCTTGTGAACCACGGGGCTCCTGCTGAGGTCATGGAAGTCACTCCCAGCAAGCCTTCTCCTTGAAATCGGTACAGAGATTAAATGAATCCCAAGTAGGCAGCACCACTGCGTGCTAGAAAGAGAACAGGATTGGAAGCAGTGGTCACAAACTCTGTGTCTCCAAGGGCCAGGCAGGGACAATACGAGGGGCAGTAGGAAGTCAACAGGATAGAAGTCCGTGGAGAATCACCCTGCCAAATGCTCGCTGTTCAAGTTCATAAAAACAGTGCTTGGGGCCAGCTCTGTGGCACAAGGGTTAATTTTGCACATTCCACTTCAGTGGCCCTGGGTTCACCGGTTCGGATCCCGGGTGCAGACCTACGCACCGCTTGTCAAGCCATGCTGTGGTAGGCGTCCCACATATAAAGTAGAGGAAGAAAGGCATGGATGCTAGCTCAGGGCCAGTCTTCCTCATCAAAAAAAAAAAAAAAAGAAGAAAAAGAAGAGGAGGATTGGTGGCAGATGTTAGCTCAGGACTAATCTTCCTCAAAAAAAAAAAACAAAGAAAAAAAACGATGCTTGACCCAACCCTCAAAAGAGTGTCTGTGGGTATTTTCTGCTATCTCTGGAGTTAGAGCTGTAGGATGAACCTTAGATCTGCCTCTTATTAGTGGGTGACCTTGGGAATGTGCCTTAACCACCGTGAGGCTCGGTTTTCTTCCCTGTGGAATAGGGACTATATCATGTGTTTTTGAACTATTGTCATGAAAATTCACAACAATGTATGTAAAGTGCTTTAGCACTGGACTTGGTACATACTATAAAATGTGGCTATTATTAGAGCCCCAGGCTCTATATGTGCACCTCTCTCTCTCTGAAAATGTATAAATAAATAGAAATTTGGGAGTAAAGGTGACAAGAGACATCTAAAGCTCTTTGAATAACTACAATATTTGTTTAAGCTAAGTCATCCTAGCATTCAAGAGTTACCTACTCTGTGATATTCAACGTGTTAAGGATTGTATTAGACACTGAGGGTTCTGCATGAGGGGGAAAAAAGAGCTCTCATATGGTCTTTGGGGTTCTGAAGGGTCCGGATCCCTAAAAGGAGTTACAGATAAGCCCCATAAATATCTGATACATTGGCAGAGATAAATTGACTGGAGGGCCCAAGAACTAAGTGAGATGCAGGGAAAGCTGAAGTGCAGCAACCGTTTAGCACCATTAAGCAACCATCAGCACCATTGCTAAAGATGCTGCTCTTGGCTTTAGCAACTGAAAGGCAGTAATTACGTGGGTACCTCTTTTCTCCAGGGCAAGGATTAGAGTGAGGCAAGTAGGGCAGGATATTGCAAGTGTAGGGT